CCCCAAAACCCCAAAACCCCAAAACCCCAAAACCCCTTCAGGGATAATAATTATTGAAAATGGTAAGTTTTCTAAAAAATTTCTTAAATAACCAACCAATTGAGAGGTTAAGCCTTATTTAGAGACTAAATTACAGAGAAAAGGCTCCTATATTTCCGATAGCAAGGCGGTCTAAGGCACTCTTACACAATAGGCGATCTTTAAATCATTTAACTAATTCGCAAGACAACATTCCTGAGTTAAGAAATAGTGGTGAGAGTAGTACTATTTTTGGGAAGCAGTTGAAACCAAATAATAACTCAAGGTTTTATTTCGTTAAAACTCTATAGCAAGCGGATATTTAGGATCCCAAAGAAGGCGAATATTCAGTTGAAAAACTCTAATTTTATTCCTTCAAATCCAAAATTAGGCTTGTCGAACACTTTCACACAAAACCAGTGGAAGGTATTACGAGTCCCTTCTCATTTGAAAGAGGCCCAGTCTAAGAACAGAAAGACTCTTACTAATAAAGTATTTTTCAACAGGAGATCTGTTCCTAGTCGCCGATCTGTAGCTTCAGAAAATTTATCACTGCTCTCAGGATATTATTCTTTACATAAATTTAAGAATTCTACTGAAATAGATGCAAAGTCTGTATCGAAAAGCCATTTATCAGCTACTCGCAAAAAGAGAGGAAGGACAGGTAAAATTAGTAAAATTATTAGTATTTTTATTCATATTTAAAATCTTTGAACAATAGTTTGAAAAGAAGAGCATTCTGAAGCAAGCTCAAAAGCAAGATCTAATAGATTTTCAAACCTGTACAAATTTCTGAAAAAGAATCGGTCTGAAATATCAGATGCTAGCTTACCTCCAGATTATCTTGGTACATCTTTATTTCTAATTACAGAATATGAGTCTCAGGCAAAATCTATCAAGGAAAATGCCTCTTACAAAAGCAAATTGACTCAGTCAAACCTAAACCTGTTCAATAACATGGCTAATGGAGTCAAGAAGGTTAAATTCCGGGAGTAATTTTCAGAATAACTTTTAGGAAATCCTTGATCCAGAGCATTCATAGTTCAAACTTCAAGCCAAACAAGCCTTGCAAGGTGCTTGATCTTGAAAAAGACCTTGACAAAAATACTGAGTACACACAAGAAGATGGGCCTGCTGACCCTAAAGATGTTGAGCTAATGGAATATCTTGAGAAAGCTGTTGAAGAGGAGGTCAAATTCAGAAGAAATTTGGAGAAAGAGCTAGAAGAACTCAGAGTCATTATTGACTTTCTCAAACAAAAATAGTTAATTCCAACATATATTGGTATTTTTGGGGTTTTGGGGTTTTGGGGTTTTGGGGTTTTGGGG